AGGTAGAATGAAGGAGTCAATTACTCATGCACTCATCCGGTCTTTGCATTAATGTATTCATTTGTTCATTCACTTGTTCAAATATTTATGGAGTGTTATCCAGGGCCCGATGCTCTTCCAGGGCTGGCGATCCGCAGCGAGCAAAGCAAAGTCCCTGCCCTCCTGTTGCTCACTCACACTCTAGGGAACAAAAGCAGACCTTGAACAGCAGGTCACTCCTCTCTTCCAACCCTTCAGTGCCTCCTCATCTTCTCCGCGTGAGTCTCTAGGGGCCTGCCAGGCCCACGTGACATGAGCCTGCCCCCCCACCGCATCTCTTAGGCTTCTCTCTAGCTTCCTCTGCTCCAGGCACGTTACCCTGGATGCTCCTCAATGTGCCAGACATGCATTTGCATGAGTCTTTGCATTCGCTGCTCTGGCCAGGTACACCTTTCCCTCCTTGCTGGGCAAGGTGCTCCCTCACTTTCTTCAGGCCTCTGGCCCAAGGGCACCTTCTCAGACACAATCCTGTCTTTCAGGTCTTGAGCTTCTTTGCCCTCTTGTCTCTTGCCACCTGCCTGGATGCACTTCACTTTCTCGTCGTACCTTTGCCAGATCCCGCTCATCCTTCTGGTCTCAGGCCTTTCTGTTACCGCATAGACAGTCAGGTGGGGGCCAGGGAGTCTCTCCCATTGGCCAAGATGGCGCAGGGGGAGATTCTCACACTAAGAGGCCCAAAGCCAAAAAGATGAATGGATAGAGAAAAAAAACAACAACACAAAACCTCATGGGCTTGAACAGAAGGGGGAAATGGGCTTTGAGACAGGAGAACACCATTCTCCCAGGTCACAGGGCACATGACTAAACCTCTTCCCTTTTGCACCAGCACCTGTCTCATGATTTTGACTTTTGTAGGGAGCGGGCAGCCAAACCTGTGTTTTCCGTTACATGTCTACATCCCCAGGCTCCCTCAGACAATCTGCTGTGCACTCCCATTAAGTGCCTGCCTTCCCCAAGGGCCACAATCCCAGTGGCAGCAGGGACCAGGGCTATCTCCAGCATAATATGGCTTAAGAGCACCTGCCCTGGATTCACACAGCCTGGGGTTGAAACTCAGTTATTACTGCTTATATGACCTTGGGCAGATCTCTTTCTAAGCTTCAGTTTCCTATGTGTAAAGTGGAGCTCCCAACAGTACCTCCCTCAGAGGGACGCTCAAGGATTCAGTGGGACGTGCTAAGAGCAATGTTTGATACTTATTAAGCCCTCAGCAAACGTTAGCTGTCATTTTATCTCCCTGACCTGCAATCGCTGGCATTAAATAGCCCTAATGACTCTTCGCTGAATTAATGAAGAAGTAAATGAGTGAAACCTTTGTTAGGGGCAAAAATAGAATATTGGGGACTAGCTGTAGTTATGGGAAATATTAATTATGCTCTGTTAACCATGATTGCCTTGTTCTGGTTAAAGAAAGGGCATTATAACTTGGCTGGTAGTTGTATGCCCTGGGACCTGGGAGTCAACCTTGGACCTGGGAGTCAATTTTGGAATGTGGGCCTCCTGCATGCCCCCCACTCAGGATGGAGCCAGCAACCTGGGCATGTGCCCTTGATTGGAATAGAACCTGGGACCCTTCAGTCTGTAGGCCGATGCTCTATCCACTGAACCAAACTGGCCAGGGCAAAATCTCTTCTTCTTGAGAATGACTGCCCTCCATTATGCCGTCCTACTGCAGGTGCTGTTTCCTTGGGGATTGAACTAGTTGTCGCTCAGAGCAAGGAAGAGGCTGTGTCTATCATTGAGATATTGAGGTGGAAACTACTAGTTACAGCAAGCATGTCAAACTCACGGCCCACGGGCCACATGCAGCCCACAACAAATATTTTTGCAGCCCAGCCAATATAACGGTATGTAAGAGACATTTTAATAAAAATTTCATAACTTAATTTTTACAACATCCTGTTATACATAATTATTAATACAAACTACAACGTTCGCTAATGACTGATTACTATAACCGTGTTGCATTCATTCCCCTTAAGCGCCTTACACACAGGCACACCATTTCTCTCCACTAATACTAGCAGTGAATATTTGAGCAGCCCATTGCCACATCATTAGTCCTGTAGTGACTTGTTTGGTGTATGCAACAGAAAATATTTTGCTTTCGAAGAACAAGAAAAATAGGTTTATTTGCGTTACGCTTATTAATTTGTGCAGTTATTTAGTGTCTGGTAAGTTAATGTTCAAGAAAAAAATATTAATTTCTATAAAAATGTTCTATTATTTTATGTTAACGATGACTCATTTATTTCAGCCCTGCGTATTCAACATGTCTCTATCGAAATAAACTTATGTTTCTATGAAAATGGAAGCTTTTGTTTTATTTGCGGCCCACATCAACTTAAACCTTGTTTATTTGGCCCATGTTAGCCTCTGATTTTGACAT